CTGTGTCTGACTCTGCCCTGTGCCACTGCCATGGGGTGCCCCAATCTCACTGTGTCTGACTCTGCCCTGTGCCACTGCCATGGGGTGCCCCAATCCCACTGTGCCCAACTCTGCCCTGTGCCACTGCCATGGGGTGCCCCATCCCACTGTGTCTGACTCTGCCCTGTGCCACTGCCATGGGGTGCCCCATCCCACTGTGTCTGACTCTGCCCTGTATCCCTGCCATGGGGTGCCCCATCCCACTGTGTCTGACTCTGCTCTGTGCCACTGCCATGGGGCGTCTCCCTCACGTGGCTCAGCCCCATGGCACCCAGCTCAGCCCCATGCCTGTGATCCCCCCTGGCCAGGATCATCCACCAGGACGGTTACTCGCTGGAGGAATGCCTGGAGTTCATCGCCATCATCTACAGCAACACGCTGCAGTCCATGCTGGCCATCGTGCGGGCCATGGGCACCCTCAACATCCAGTATGGGGACACAGCTCGCCAGGTGAGGATCATTCCATGTTGGGCAGGGGCTCCCCCAGCTCCCAGGCCCTACTGAACCCCTCTGCCGTGTAGGATGACGCCCGTAAGCTGCTGCACCTCTCAGACACCATCGAGGAGGGCACCATGCCCAAAGAGATGTCAGAAATCATTGGGCGGCTCTGGAAGGACTCAGGCATCCAAGCCTGCTTCGACCGCGCCTCCGAGTACCAGCTCAATGACTCTGCGGGCTAGTACGTGGGCTAGCGGGGTGTGGGTAGGGGGAGGCATCAGGGGTTGCCAACYCGTGTCTCATGCCCACCGCGTGCCCGGCCAGCTACCTGTCGGACCTGGAGCGCCTGGTGACCCCCGGCTACGTCCCCACAGAGCAGGACGTGCTGCGTTCCCGTGTCAAGACAACCGGCATCATTGAGACCCAGTTCTCCTTCAAAGACCTCAACTTCAGGTGGGGGCCAGGCCCCCGGTGAGGGCCGGTGCCAGGGGTTGGGCAGGGAGAGGGGGGTGCTGACCCTCCCTTGTCCTGCCCAGGATGTTYGATGTGGGCGGACAGCGCTCAGAGMGGAAGAAATGGATCCACTGCTTCGAGGGGGTGACCTGCATCATCTTCATCGCGGCCCTCAGCGCCTACGACATGGTCCTGGTGGAGGATGATGAAGTGGTGAGGAAGGCTCACCACCTCACATCCCCTCTGCTTTGTCCCCATCGTGATGTGGGCGTCACCACGGGGCTGTGTCCCTCCGCAGAACCGCATGCACGAGAGCCTGCACCTCTTCAACAGCATCTGCAACCACCGCTATTTCGCCACCACCTCCATCGTCCTCTTCCTCAACAAGAAGGACGTCTTCCTGGAGAAGATCAAGAAGGCCCATCTCAGCATCTGCTTCCCCGACTATGACGGTGAGTGTGGCGGCGGCTGGCGGTGGTGGGGGGCTGGCGGAGGGCTGGGTGCCACCACCCCGCAGGAGTCCCCCACCAGGTGTCCTCAGCACCCCATGCAAGCGGTGCCACACCAGGCTGGCTGAGGGACCGCGCAAGGTTTGCCCACCCGAGGGAGTGCTGGGTGATGCTGTGCCGGCACCCTGGGGTGGGGACATCGGCCCAGGAGGGGACCCTGCTCACTGCCCCACCACCAGGCCCCAACACCTACGACGACGCGGGCAACTACATCAAGCTGCAGTTCCTGGAGCTGAACATGCGGCGGGACGTGAAGGAAATCTACTCCCACATGACCTGCGCCACCGATACCGAGAACGTCAAGTTCGTCTTCGATGCCGTCACTGACATCATCATCAAGGAGAACCTCAAGGACTGCGGGCTGTTCTGAGCCCCAGCCCAGCACCCCCTCCCCTGGGGCCCAGTCCCACTGCTGCCCCCACCCCACCTCCACAACCATCTCCACTTGCCCCAAACTCCTGGGATTTGACCTGCTCAGCTCCAAAGCCACCCCTTTGGTGGGGTGGGGGCGGCACAACCTCACTCCCTGTCCCCACCAACTCTCCCTCCAGTCAGCACTGGGGGGTCCCCAGTGTGCTGGGGGGTCCCCAGTGTGCTGGGATTACCTGGGTGATCCTGGCTGCTACAGGGTGCTGGATACTTTTGGGTACTGCTCCCCCTGGGAGCTCTGGGGTACTGTGGGACCCTTGGGTGCTGAGGGTCCCTGAGTACCCCTGGGAGGAGAGGGGTGTTTGGGGATCGTGGGTACTTGGGGGACATTCCTGGGCTCCCTTTAGAGCTGAGAGGTGCTGGGGGCCCCCAGATAACCCTTGGCCCTGGGGAGACGGGGCATCTTTGGGTGCCCTTGGTGCTGGGASACCCTGGTAATCCCTGGAGCTGAGGGGTGTTAGGGATTCCCTCGGGTGCTGGGGGGTGCCCTCTGAAGCTTGGGAATGCAGGGACGGTCCCTTGGATGCTACTGGGTGTCCATGAATGCCCCCTGGAGCTGTGGGTTTCTGGGAGTCTCCAGGAACTGCTGGGGTGTGGGGTGTCCTTGGGGCTCCCTGGGGCTGGAGGTTCCTGAGGGCTGCTGGGTGAAAGGGATGCTGCATCTCCCTTTGGTCAACAGGTCCCTGAGTGCTCCTGGGCACCGGGTGTCCCCAAGCACCATGTGGTACCGGGGCTCCCTGGGTCCCACCATTCCCCCACTGCAGAGCCAGGGGTTGGTCATGTGTTTGTTTCCCTCTGCCCCACGGGGTGGGGCTCAGCCCTGCAGCAGCACCCCATTTCCACCCCCAAGGGTCCCACCACTGCCCTCACCTCCCAGGGGCTTCTCCTGACCCCAGGGGGATGCCAGCCCACCTTATGTCCCTCTCTCACCCTCAAGGACGCCCCCATCCCTCCCACAGAGGTGAAGCCCCCCCTGCCCACCCCCATGTCACAGCAGGCGGTTTCAGTACATATAATTTTTCTCTTTTTTTTTTTTTTCCTTTCTACATTTTATTATTTCAAACCATGTGAACAATTCGGTAAAACATCCTGTGGGAAAAGCGAGGCCGCAGGCACCGGCTGAAGGGTCCCCCCTGGGCTGGGGGGGACAGCGGGGGCTGCTCTGTACAGCGAGATCTCCTCGCCCAACGCAACAGCTAGCCCTAAAAACTAGGCTTAGAAAGAGGGGGGGGATAGAGGCAGTGGGCAGCACCCCCTGCCCACCCTCCTGCCCGAGCTGCCCGTCGGGATGGGGGCAACGAGGCGGGGTGGGGTGCAGACCCTCTCCCCCAAGGCACACGGTTGGGGGGTGGGCTGGCCATGGAGGACGCCGCCACCACGTAGCACTTGACGCTTTTAAATAGTTTGGTAAAAAGGTTTCTTTAAAAAGCAACCTGGCCCCAACCGGTGTGGTGTGGGTTTTTTGCATGGTTTTGGGTTTGGTTTAGGTTTGGGGTTTTTTTTGCCTTTTTTTCTTTCTTCTTTCTTTTCTGGTCTATTAAAAGGAATGTCATCGGTCGTGTTTGTGGCTGGGTGGGCATCCCCAAGAGGACCCTGTGCCCCCCGTGCCAGCAACACTTGCAATGTAAACAGTGAGAGCACCAGGGCTCGGAGTGAATGAAGTGGGGGCTGGAACGGTTCAGGGGGTACAAACCAAGATTAAAACCTTGTCTTCCCTGGAAGGGCGACGCTGGCGAGGAGGAGGAAGATGATGTGGGGGGCAAGCGCGTGCAGCAGGGGGTTTATGGGCCCTGCCACCGTGCTGGCACTCAAAAAGTCTCTTTATGGGTTGGGGGCGGAGGGATGAATCCGAAGAGAAGCAGGAGTGGGAGGTGGTGTGGTCCTTCCTTTGCGGCTCCTAGGAGAGAGAGGTTGTGAACAGGGGAGGGTCTGGGGACAGGGTAGCCCGCAGCTGGCACAGTGCCCAGCCCATCCCCAGAGGATGGTGCACGACCACCCCATTTGGGAGCCACCACTGGGACCAGCACCCACCTGGGCATTGCCGCCCTCAGAACAGACCACAGTCCTTCAGGTTGTTTTTGATGATGACGTCGGTGACGGCGTCAAAGACGAACTGCACGTTCTTGGTGTCCGTGGCACAGGTGAAGTGGGTGTAGATCTCCTTGGTGTCCTTCCGCTTGTTCAGGTCCTCGAACTTGCTCTGGATGTAGCTGGCTGCCTCGTCATACTTGTTGGCCCCTGGGGAGGAAGAGACATTGGGCTGCCCCACAGTCGCCCAGAGCCACCAAAGGGTTTGGGCTCAGCTTGGCCCCCCACAGCCAATGTCCCATTGCCAAATTGTGGCTCCAGAGGCAGAGTGAACTAACCCCCTCCAGGGCTGCTGCCCCTCGTGTTGTGTCCCCCCATCTTCTGGAGCACCCCAAACACCACCACACCCCACTTGCTGCCCCAACCCACTGCTTCTTGGGCACTAGGGAGCCACCATCTCCATCCCCAACACCTACTGCTACCCTGCCTGGGGCAAGGCACTGCCCACTGTCCTTGCCAGGGCAGCAGTGACTGAGGGTCCTGGTGGTACCTGTGTACTCAGGGAAGCAGATGGTGAGGGAGCTGTGCACGATCTTCTCCTCAAAGAGGTCCTTCTTGTTGAGAAAGAGGATGATGGACGTGTCTGTGAACCACTTGTTATTGCAGATGCTGTCGAACAGCTTCATGCTCTCATGCATCCGGTTCTGGCAGGGGAGATGGCACCATGAGTTGGGCAGGGACCTCCAGGCAGCACCCAACTTTGTGCTCCCCAAACTGCAATCCCCTATGCTCCTGTGTGCCTGAGCAGGGGATGCCAATGGCCTTGAAAGGCTTGGACTACACTGGTCAGGGCACTAGTGGCCACCAGAGGAGGGGCTGCTCCCCCAGCACCCCAAGGAGGGGACAGGTCACGGTGCTGGTTCCATCCCCATGACTCACCATTTCTTCATCTTCAGCCAGCACCAGGTCATAGGCACTCAGGGCCACACAGAAAATGATGGCTGTCACCCCCTCRAAGCAGTGGATCCACTTCTTCCGCTCTGAACGCTGGCCACCCACATCGAACATCCTGCAGCAGGGAGATGATGCGGGGTTGGATGGCAGCTCCTGGCCCCATTACCCTCAGGTGTGCCCTGCCTCATTGTCCTCAGCTGCCTGGAGCAGGAGCAGCACTGGTGTGGGCACAGCACGATGCCTCTGCCCCAGGGATTTTGCCAGTAAMGAGGATCTGCCCTGGTTCCTGCTGCCAGGACAGTGTCCAGGCTAATTTCCCAGCTGGAGCAAATCCCTGACATGAGCTGGGGCAGGATCAGGCCACCTTCCCAGTGGGTGTCAGTGTCATGCTCGCAGAGACCCACTCCAGAGCAGGCATGGCAGGGCTTTGCCAGAGACCTCGGAGCAAGGGAGCCAAGCAGCTGTGGGCTCAGCACGATCGCAGCAACACAAGGGCTCAGGGATGATCCTGATGCACCATGTGCCTCTCCCGCCATGGGCAGCAGAGGATGCCCTGCCTCCATGGCRAAGGGCCCAGCAGCAGCATTCCACATCCACTGCCACGCCCACCGCCAACCACCTGGCTGGCAGGAARGATTCCCCCCAGGACACATTGCACTCCCCCTGGATCCCCACTGCCACTTCCAAAGTGCTGCCCTGGCAATGCGTGACCAAGTGTCTCCAACCCACCAGGGTGGCATCGGGGTCCCTGTGAACCCCCTGCATTCAGAGAGAACCCCAGCAGATCTTTCTGACATCGGCTCGGTTGCCATGGGACTAAATCCTCCAGGGTGTGCACAATGCAGTTTTTTGCCTCAGAAACTGGAGCCCTGATTATTTCCCATGGGTTTTCAGCGGAAAGTAACCATGGGGTGCCAGGAGGCAGCAGTGCCAGTGCCTGACCCTGAGACCCCAGCTCCTGCCCAGCGCCCTTCCTGCAGCGGAAGCAGCGTCACAGCAGCGGGAGGAGGGATGCCTTCCCCCTTCCCCTCCTTGCCAGAGCCTGGATCCGCCCCCAGGCTGAGCTCTGCAAAGTGTTTTTGAGACTGTTCCAGCTATTTCAGCGTTTTCCGCTCTGTGAGGCAGCAGTTCCCGCCATGAGCAAACCAGGAGGTGGCGAGAACTCAGTGCATGCGGTGTGCACCCAGGATCCATCCCAGCATGGGGAGGAAGAGGTTTTTTTTGCTTTGGAAAAGGCAAAAGGGAAAAGGGAAAGGGGTCAGACATACTTGAAGTGCAGGTCCTTGAAGGTGAAGTGGGTCTCTACRATGCCCGTGGTCTTCACCCTGGTGCGCAGCACATCCTGCTGGGTGGGGATGTAGTCAGCACGGGCTATCCTCTCCAGGTCATTCAGGTAGCTGGGAACAAGGGATAAAGTTGCTGTGGGAGCTGGACTGTGGGGCACAAMCCACCCAAATCCCATGGGACATCACACCGCCCCAGGCTCCCCTGCCCATCTTCCAGCATTGTCCSTTCAGGGTGGGCAGTACCAAGCCAGGCAGGAGAGCAGGGGCCCTATGTGCACTCTGGGGTCACCCCGTGTCCCTGCCAGGCACRGGAAGGACAGGACACCAGCGGCTAGAGTGATATGGGATACACAAGACTGAGGGACTGGGGGCCCGTGTGCTGACACTGGGAGCCAGGCAGAGGATGCAGCCAGGGCTGGGGGGCTTACCCCGTTCCCCTGTCCGTTTGCATCAGGGGGAAATGGCAAAAGGAAAATATTCAGTGCTATGGCAACCAGCCACGGTGCCGGCGGAAACAATTGATGGCGTCGTGCCATTTATAGTCAAAAACACAAAGGGACRGCGTCCTGGGAGGAAGCAGGAGGCGGGAGGCCGGAGAGACAGGGAGCAGCGCCGTGGGGGGCTGCAGCCGTCCCGAGTTCCCCTGGGGAGCATCACCCGCCCTGCTGCCCGC